TTGTTTAATGAGTCGGTACACTATTTTGTCACTCAAGTATTCGACCAGCATTTCAATCTCGTTATCCATCCACGCGAATCAGTTGAGATACTGCACAAAGCTCCCACTGTAGTGACCATGAATGTGGATTCAACTATCACGGCAGATCGGGATATAGCACTCAGTAGTATTCAAGTTGGCGATATTGTTGCAGTCAGCAGCTTTGTCAAAGTCGTCATCAATAGCGAATTGCAGGAGTATACCAACTACTATGAGTTGGATGTTTCAGCAGCGTTGGCGGGATCCAACCCAAGGGCACCAAGTTGTGGTGGTTAATGGGCACGTTGATCTTGCACACAGTCTCTCTACCCACCGTGTACCTGCAGTCTTTGCCAGTAGCTGGACTTCGTGGCAGCCAAAAGATCGTGTCAGATTTGTTAGCCGCTACCATCAAACGATTGCCCTCGCACACAAGCACCAAATCGACAGGATTGATGACCGGTTACCCGTAACGGGTTCTCTCGTCTGGTACTCCCAGGTTGTCCTTGAGCCTGGTATGCAGTTGGGCACTAACTTTCTGCTGCCTCGGCACTTCTGCAAACAACACAACACATCATATGTTTGCGAACCGGACAGCACTAGTATCCTCTCCAAACTGTACTTTGCTGCAGAACCTGACATTCCATTCAAAGTCAACCTCTTTACCCCATGGGATCCTCTCAAAGATCTCTCGGCTGGAGTGTGTAGGTATGAAAATGTTTTTCTGGCCGTAAATGCTTACATAAGGTACCGCATTGTTCATGCAATGAATACCACTGCATACAGTGGCCTAGCCGACACGTCGGCGAAGGAGACTTTGTTTTGGACATTCCCGCTAAGGGTAATTTGCAAGCGCTTGCCTGTCGCCTGAAGTACTGGCAGGAGAACAGCACTATGTGCGTCAAGGTCCTGCATCCGGAGCTCACACTTCGGGCTATCATTCGCCGTTTTGACAACGATCAGCTTGGTAACGTTCGAGTAAGTTTACGACTACACATACTTGATATACAACTAGCTGACGAGCTGAATGAGTATACTGAAATGAGTGTTGAACCCGATAAATCCTACACAGGCTACGAATATAGGATAAAACGGATTAGAACTAGCAACTTTCATCGGCCCTTCGATTCAGTGAGTGCAATGGTCTTGTTGTAGAAGCACTTTTGGGTATTGAGTCAGCTCAAAGTGCCTTTTCTCCAGAAGAATTATCCGAGACCACTGCCTCTCAGCTGACCTCTGAACAAGCCACTGTTGTCCAATCACTTTTAGGCAACATCCCAGTTCTCTTTCAGCGGACGCCCGCTGGCACGAGAAGAACCCGGGTCATCGATGCCTGTGTGGCGGAGTTGCTCAAACGAATTTCGCCGTCAGATCTTATTTTGGTTACTGCAGTAACTAACATTGCTGTGGTGAATGCTACTAATGTTATTGTAGATGATGCACCAGATCTGCAAGAAGGTGAACTCTGCTTCCTACAATCCACCCAAGCCGAGCTGCTGTTCCCCCAGCAGGATGACCCTAATCCAAATTACTGGGTCGAATCCCGCTTATCGGAAACTTTGCTTAGACGGCGGGAGCATCGCGCTATTGAACCTCCGGGAAAAGGCTTTGTCAAACACTACCCCCCACCGGCGCCTTCCGCATCAGGGCGTTGAGGCCAACGACTCGCGTGCGCTCCGCATTGCGCTGCTCGGCAAGCCTCAAATCATCCTGGCGGGCGCAGTCTCGATGGTTGAAGATATTATGTTGCGGGTTTTGGACATGATCTCGCACCTTGTTATTGATGAGGCCAGCATGGTACTTGAGAGCCAGCTTCTGGCACTTTGCGCGAGCCTTCCCCACTTGCTCAAGCATTCTTGACTGGTGACTGCATGTTGCAAAAGGAAGAAGGGAAGAATAATAAAGAAGCGAAGTTGGAGGCTCATTCCCCTTCGCCTTGTCCAGTTGCCCTTCGGTCTCCTGTAATATGTAAATGCCCCGTCTCTTGGCTCGAGTTCCCCCCTCCTTGATATTTAATGTGATAACTGAAAATGGAATGGGG